CTTAATTCCCCTCTTATGCTGTTAATCTGTCATCTTTATCAGTCCGGTGAGGTGGGAGAGAAGGAGAGTGGACTGTGTGGAGCTGAGGTCTAGAGGGGCGGGGGTGTGACAGGTGGGGACGTGGGGTGGGCCGCCAGCCACAGCCCCCCGATCAATCTCCACATTACAGCTGACAGAATGGTGCTAATAACTTATTGATCCCCCTCCGTGCACCGGGGCCTCCGTCGGCCCTGAAAGCCCTGCCATTGATTGGCTTACGGGCCGATGCAAGAGAGGGAGAGGGAGTGGGAAGAGAGCAGAGGAGGGATTCGTCATTGTCCTGCATCTAGATGTATAAACAGCAGAATTTCTTGGTCGACATCATCATGTCGCTCCACCCGGACCAATAGTTGACAGTAAAATAATTTCAAATAATTTCAATTTCACCTTTCATTTTACATATTTCTAGGAAGGATTTAACAATTTCAAAGAATGCATAAGTCTAAGTCAAACTCTCACAGATGCATTATGACTATGTCTAATATTGTGCTGTGATTACAAGTGTTACAATACTCAAGACATTACTGTGAAAACAAAACAAAACTTTGCTTTCAAGTTTCTCGCGCAAGTTAGCTGATACTAAAACAAAGAGGATCTTAGTCGCTCCTGCTTGTGGCTAGCAGTGGAAACATAGCACTGCTGATTGGTGTCCTTGAACATTGCCCTGAAGTCGTCTTTTCAGTCTAAGGTGTTTTATTGGATTTTTAGAGCTAATGAATACAAATGCTTCTCTCTGCCCTGCTGTGGCCTTATTAGAGGATAAGACAACATAACCATAGTAAAAATGGCAGGAGCAGAATAAGTGGGCTTTTCTTGAAAACAATAACAACTATATTAATGTCTAAGCAACAGCAAACTTGGTTTCTTAAAGTTTCTACATTTATTTTGACAGAGGCAGTGATTTTGATCCTTTAGACCACTGAACTATGTACTTTATCTTACCAGACATATCTGTCTTTTTTGTTATGGTTGCATTTTAAAAAATTCTCTATCTTTAATGTTAACATACACGTTTAAAAGAATGCATTTGCGATATTACGCTGACCGATATTTCAAACACTTGCTCATTAGGTTAAAAAAAAACAAAAAACCGGTTGGTTATACGGCATATGATACTTTTGCCAGTCAAGACATACTTAGGATGTGTTGTTACTAAATGTAATTTATAGCATAGTGCAGACTTTGGCTGGTTTTTAATATTTTATCTTTGGTTAGGGGAGTGTTGGCCTAGTGAGTTACAGCAGTGCATTCCTGAGCAAAACCTTTAACCCCTGATTGCTCCCCTGGTGCCACACAATGGCAGGCCACTGCTCCCCAAGGGGATGGGTCAAAATGCAGAGAACGAGTTTCCCCATTGTGGGACAATAAAGGGATTTACATTACATTGGTTGTTCTTCATTTATATTACAGCTTGGAGAAATACGACTTTTTCAAAGATCAGGTGTGGATATAATTTATGTCTAAATTATTTCGGTGTTCAAAACCTCCCTATGTGGTATAGCGGACTAAGTCTGAGTCAGACTCTGCCAAGCCTTTGTGGAAATTGTCCTGACTTGCTATGGTGACTTCCAAAGGGAGCAGCTTAAAAGACTCACCCTCTGTCTTAAAAATGTTCCCAGTGTAAATTAGCTTGTTTATTTGTACATAAAATGGACTGATTCACTCCAGTGTGATGGGAAATCATCACCAATTTGCTGGTATATAATTTGAAATGGCAACCTTCCTAATACTAAAGTCACCAACAGTTGTTGGCCTCTTCAGATGTGAGGAGGGGACGCAGAAGGCTGCAAATATTTCAAACCAAAAGTGTGCTTGTAACACATAGAAGCACATATTTCTTTATCTTCTTGAATCACAGAAAGTCTTTTCTTGTTAGTTTTTCACGATTAGCTCAAATAGCATCTTAAAAACTAAATATATACCCTGTTGGTCTTTGAACTCATCAACCAACACTGTACACTTTAGTGCTGTTTTAATATCATTAAAAGTCTGGGGAAGCTTACGTCCTTTAGTGGATATATCCTTGTAATCCCTGTATGTTTTGGATTCAAAAGTAATACTTTTATCAAACAGCTTTCTATACTTGTTATGTGCTAAAGTGGAATTGGTCAAGTTTGCAATGGCCAAGTAAGACTTTCAAGAAAATAGAAATCTGATTGTTGCATTTCTAATCATTTGCAGAGAGCAGACATCTTTGAAACTTCATGGTATCTGAAGCAATAGAGCTGCTATAATTTGATACCCTGGTATATCTTACTACAGTACTAATGTTGATCAAACAAGGGGGGTTCAGAGATCAACAGAAAGAGCCATTTTTTGAGGGAATTATTTCTAACATTTAGATGAAGTTTGCAGGTAAGTTTGCATTTTTTAAATGCGGTTAAAGCTGTACAAATACTTCTTTTCTATAAACTCTTAAAATCATGATTATTTAGACAGGTTTTATTTCAAAATAAGCAAAACAAAAAAAATAAATAATCATTAAATCCATCTTTTATTGCTATTATGCACAGTTTGCTTTTACAATCCCACCATTTCGCTTCTCTCTTTGTTTTTAGCTGCTACATAGAAACCTAAACCTGTATATTCATAGCACAATTCATCACTTCTTATAATGTGCAGGATCTTTAAAAGCATTTTAAATTATTGGTATCACAGAACTCATCTAGATCGTTTAAATGTGGCGGGAAATATTTTCACAACCCTGTATTTATACCATCTAGAAATGAATCACTTGTAAGAACTGCTTGCATCTTTTTCCAGTAATAGGCTTTTTATATGGTGCAGTTACACCTCTGTTAAGCAGTTTAATCTTTTAGGATATTTATAACTGCTGTTTCCTGTGAGCTATGGTGAGACCAAGTCAAACATCGCTACTGATCCTCTAGTGTTTGCTTTGATGCAAAAGTTCCTTTCTATGCTATGTAAACAATAACTTGCTGGAAGGACTTTAAAAGCAATCCTCAGGCAAAATTAAAGAAGTATGTAATGAACATGACGAACTGCAGGTTCACACGCAAGCAAACATCTAAAGCAACAAGAGAAAGGTGCTCATGCACTAACACAGACCAACACGTGCCGTCAGGCTGTAACTGCCTCTAAGAGCCTGAGTGTGCAGAGTGAGGGAGGGAGAGGGAGTGAGCAGCGGCCCAAAAACACCTTATCTGCCTGTTTGAGTCTCCGGTCTGACCGCAGAGCCACAGTTTACAGTCTCCACAGGCAGCCAGACTCTCAACGTCGGCGCCCAGCTCCCTTCACCACCTCCACCCCCCTCGCTCCGCTCCCCCGCCTCTTTCCCACTTCTGTCTGAATAGCCAATGGCTATGGAGGGAAAGAACGACGGATGGAGTGCGGAAGAACAGGAGGGAGGCAGCCCTCCTGTCTGTCCCTCAGATTTAATTAATGGCCCACTCCAGCACAGAGACAACCAGGCAAGCCTGCTTCCCTTTGCTCCTGACCCCCGACACACACACATTGTACCTTCCTCCATCATAGTTACAACAATCCCTCCACTTATACCTCAGTCAGCTTTATTTTTCCTGTCAATTTCTAGATGTTTCTTCCATCAGATCCTCTTATTGCATCAGACTTTTAACCTGTCCTTAACACTTCATTGGTAGATAGGTCAAACAGTGGAAGTGCACACACAACATGATAGCAGGAAGCTGGTTTAAATGTGCACCTCATCTATGTGTTTGGGTTGCAGTTTTAAGCCTGCGTAGGCATGCATCTTTATAGCCATGTGTTAGGTGTGTGCCTAAAAATTTGTGTGTCTAATTTCACTGGCAGACAGAATTAGAGCCAGCGGCTGATCGGATTGGACCTGTTTACAGACACAAAGCGAGCTGCTTAGGCTGCCTGCTAAATCTCCCTTTAATGCTCAAAGGGGCAGATTTTAGGGTGGCATAGGGCATACTGCGCCCCTACTGTCCCCCATTATCACCCATGTTTACCTCCCCCCTTATAAAAACGGTTTCAGGGTTTGAACTTTTCCATTAGCTGATTAAGACAGATTTATTTTAGGGGGGGGGGGGGTTAGACCCCAAACTGGGGTCTAAGACTCTGCCTAAGCTGGTTGTTGTATTGCCTCCTCCTTTTACCCACCCTACCCGATAACACAGGCACCGTATGGTCATTTAATCCAGCAGACACAGGAGGTGAGCATATAAGGAGTAAGTATGGAGGTGTCGGGTTGTAGGTGATTAAGCTACTTGTGTAGCTAGCTAGTGGGATCAAGACAGTAGGGTCAAACTACAGACCAATTCGGAGCAAAGTCCTTGGTTCCAAACAATAGATAGTGGATGTTTTCAATTCTTATCGAAGGCAGTGAAAGTGCTTGTCGTTTAGATTGGGACATATGTGGCTTACTAAAATGCAATCGCCTACTTCATGTTGCCATATAGGTCCATTTCCAATAGAAAGTATCAAATGTCTATAGAATACTGAAAAAGTTTGGATGCTTGATGTATTAGTCAAAATCTGTCAGAAACATCCAGCACAGTGAGCTTTTATTGAAGATCAATAACATACTGATAACCCTGGCGTACCCCCTAACAGGTTCCTTGACAAATAGCTGTAATTAAATGCAGTCTGTGTAAGCTGAAAGAAAAGCTCTTACTAACACATGCACACTATGGTTCCTGGGCTCACATGAAACCGGATTAAAAGCAAACAAAGCTATTTATTCTGAGGTAATTTAAAACAGGGGGTTTAACATGAAATCCTGGGGTGCGGCAGAGAATCTGGGAAGAACATTAGGCGATCAACTTAAGAGCGACCTTTAGGAAGGAGTAATAGGCTTATTTTCAGGTCCCTCAGCCAAACAAGTTAACGTTAATTAGAGAAATTGGCGCATGTGTGTTTGAAACATATAAAAGGTCATCAAGCTAAACGAAGGAAGAGAGAGTCATGTAGAAGAGACAAGGGAGAAGGATGATAGTGGAAGATTGTGGGTTTCCTACCTGTGTGTCGAGTACTGGTGCTGTGGTCAGAGGCTGACTGCTCTTCGGGCATACCGTGCTGTCTGGTGTGGTGCAGGTTAGAGATAATTGTAGAGAGGTCACCGTCCCGACTGGAACAAACACACAGGAAGAGACAGCACAATGAGAAGCAATCTACAAACTGAACATTACAACCGGAGACCGCATGGGAAAAAAAAGAAAAAGATGAAATACATTCCATTAAAATGACTTGAGCAGCTCTCACCACAGAAATCCTTCATTTAGATATCCCGGTCCAGTTATTGAAAAAAGAAAACAACACTCCTTCACAGAGACTGTGCAGCTACAGGTGGCTGTCCTGTCTGCTGCCTCTTAGCTCTGAGGTCTGTAATGCACTCTGACAGACTACCGCATCCAGCACTTTCAGGTCTCATCCCTGCTCATCTTACGCACTAAGATGTACTAATGAACATATTCACAACTCATAAGTAGTTTATAAGCTTAAAACCTTAATATGACTCTTTTTAAACCACTGTTACTGATGGGGCGCTTCAAAGACATAGCAACTTAATACAATGAAAGGTTATCTCATTATTAGCATGTTTCATCATATTACAGAGTTAAATATATGAGATTATAAATAAAGAAATTAGTGATGATTTAATATTTAAAACAACGGCCATAGAACAATGCAATATTACTACTTAAGAAAGACTTTAACATGAGGTTTGTCATAAGCAAAAGCATCCAGAAGGATCCTGTTAAGCCCTGTAGAACCTAAAGTATGATCGGTAAAAGGGTTTGCAGATTAGACTTGCACTTGATTGGGGCTCCAGATTTCCTATTTGCAGTTTTTCTAAACTCCTAACACAACTGTGCCATGGAGGAGTTTCATTTGCAATCTGATTACCCTCCTGATTGCATTAAAATGGAATAATCATGGGGAAATAGGTGCTTAGCGTCTGACTGGTGTATGGCAGCTTTGGAGTATGAGTAGTTGGTGTCATCACACTCTGTATGAGAGCTTCAAAGACGCATAAACCTTGGTTTATAGTTGAAATGTCTATTACTGCTACAGTGCATTCCACGAGAGTTCATACGCCTTAAAATTCACACATTTCTTTTTTACAATGAATGAGTTTTGAAGTTACCAAACATGTCAAGTCCATCTGTGTGTAAATCTACCTAAGCTACAGTGTGGCCTCATGGAGACCAAGGAACGCAGCAGACAAATCAGGTTGTGGAGATATTTAAAGCAGTGGCTAAATTATACAACGATATCAAAGACCACAGAACACTGTTCAATTCAATCATTCAAAAAAAGAAAGTTAGGTCCAGAGACAATATGCAAGCTGTTAAGAGTTAAAGAAAGGTCAATCTTTAAAGTAACACCACTAGATGATCCAAAAGCTTTAAAACTAGAGCTTTTTCATTTACTCTAAATTACAGCCAGAGCTATGATGGTATGGGTTATATCAATGTATATTCCCTGCATTGAAGTTACCCAGTCAAACCTGAGAACTCAGATGGAAAATTGATGTTCAGTAGGGGTGCATGACTTCAGAAAGGAATTTAATAGTGATAGCTAAAACTTGCAGTAACAATAATATTGATCACCTCCTATTTTCCTGAGTCAATGAGTTTTATTGTCTCAGCAGTGACATATACATCAGCTATGAGCAATAATGGTAGTTTTAGAGACCATTCAACAGGCCATTATATTATTAATGTGATTTGTGATTGCTTTGGATTGATGAGATTTCTCACACCAATATTTTGATGAAATATTGCAAATCAATACAGTGTGAAGCTCTAATGTTGCCAAATACTCCCCATGTAGTAATAGTGGGGAAAAAGTCTTAATATGTGAGCAGCTGGTAGAAACACTAAAACCCCAAAGCTGTAAAGATGGTTCTATACAGTATCAGAATGGACAACCTGCATTTAAATCCAAGCAATTATATTGCATTATATTGTTATTTACAAAAATAGTTAAAAACGATGCAACTTTATCTTTTTAATTTACCATTGCTGGTATCCTGCAATTTTTAAATGTCTCCCTTGTTTTAATAACCTGAATCAAATGGTTACACTACCTCTTTAGAAGCAGTCAAGCTTTGCTAACGAAATCCTATTGGAGTCAGGTGTGATGATGCATAGTTGCAGGGCAACAAACCTTGTGGATTTTAGTTTGAGACCCCTGACACAACACATGAAATACTGACGAAAAATTTGGTGAAATTATTATGAAAGTAGCAAAAGTTCAAGAGGTGTCAATGGCTTTGTAAAGCGTGGTGAACATATATATTAGGTTTGAGAAGTTTTCATGCCTCTTCAGTATTGCCACATTCCTCCATCCATCCTGTATTTAAACATATCAGCGTCATATTTCGTTGGAAACAAAGATCTTCTATAAATGTTTGAATTGTCCTCTTACCAAAAGCTCAATCATCTTTGAAGGGGGTCTGGTATGACACGGTAAGCACAGTTTAACAGGGAAGAAGCGGTGAATGGTCCTTAGCTGCCACCACCGTGACGAGGCCACACTGTTTGCGGCTGCTGGATTTGGGGTTTTTTTACAGTCCCATGATTACAGGCTCCTGCTGTAATGTCAGGCTTTTGGTCGCCAAGCTGTTTTCCACACACTAACAGTAAAGCTGAAGGGTAGTACTGAGGGCGTCACGCTGGCCTCACCAGTCACCTCTCAGTCACAGAGAGCCAGTGACTCAGAAAACAGCCCCAGACAAACAGCCCCCGTTGGTTGCTAGGCAAGGAGACGCTTGATTGGACCTCGACTTGAGACTTTTTTTTTTACTAATTACAGACTTCATTTTTTAGGGTGTATCTTGCTAAAATTGGTAGCTATCTGCGTCTGAGAGCCCCATGATTTTCTTTAAACGGTAAATGAGATACAAAGAAGGATAGTTAAAAGTCATATTACAATGTATCACACAGTGACTCCAGCAAAAAAATACATCCTTCACAAACTCTACAGTGCATAAGTCTAAGAAGTTGCAGTCAAATCAATCAGCCAGCTTGCTGCTTTATAACACCACCCTCTGTCCATCATTTAAAGTGATCATGATAATGCCATCCTGAACTTCTCAGAGAGGTGAGGGGGTTATTATCCCATGGCGAAGTGGCTACTCTAAGCCATGAACGCCAAGGACATTGTTAGTTAGGTAATTAGTGCACCTCTCCTGAGCTGTCCCGCCTCAGCTTGGGCTAATGAGGGCTTAGCCCTATCCCAACCCACCTCTGCTCTGCCTCCCCCTTTCCTGTGGTTGGTGACAAGGTCATCCTCGACTCATAGAAGATGGAGAGGGGGTTGGGGATGTAGTTTAAAACCCAGTCACCTGAGTCAGCGCTCCCTAAGGAGCTTCTAAGGCCACGGTAAACTGGGAAGGACGGGGCCTCTGAGAGGATAGACAGGGTTATATGAGGCCTGATAGCTAAGAAGGACATGAGCCGCCTCCTTATCAACCAGGCACACGCCGGAGACAATCATCTCATCCTTGGCTCATCCCTTAACTGGTCAATACTGTCCCCTCATCAGCGCGCACAGGGCCTTCAGGGAATGAGTGGACGAATACATGGCTGCACTGAAAAATCTGTCATAGATTTAACTGTTTTTCAACATGACTAATTAAACAAGACTGGGGATAGTTTGCTCTATCATCCCTTTTAAATCTGTGCCATTATACAATGGCTCAATAAAGCTATCACTTGATTCAGTTTTCAATGTCTTTTTTTGTTTTATAGAGGGACAGAACACATTCTGGATAGGTCCACAGTGCATCAGAGGGCAACCCAAAGACATATTCAAACCTAAGGGCCATTTAGAAACCCCAAGTCCCCTTCCACATATGGTTTTGGATGGCAGGAGGAAGATGGAGTACTCAGTGATGTGCACTGGGAGGACAAGCAAACTGCACACAGAAAGATTCAGCCCATATATAAACCATACCATCTTGAAGCAAATAGCAGTGATAAAAAAAACAAGCCTCTACTTGCTCAAGTCAATAAAGAAAAAAAATCATTCAGTTTTAGAAATTTGAAATTTACATTAATGGTTTCCTTTTACACATGAGAACAATATAAATAGCAAAATATTTTTTATAATTCCGTATCGATTAGTATTGGAAAGAAAAGCTCACTGGCTATGCCCTAACGTCCGCCCTAAATCCCTAAATCACTATATAGAGCGAGGACTATATAGTGGACTTAATTGAGAGGACAGCCTGAGGAGAATCTGGGATATGTTTTATCATTAGTGACTATTGATGATCAGTAATGATCAAAGTGCATTGTGGTAAATTTGGAATCCGCAAATGTTTCATACACTAGATGTCCGGACACTCGTTTAAAATGGCCTAATCCCTACATAGTGCCCTATATAGCGATTAGGGCAGATGTTCGGACACAGCCTCTGAGGATAAATAAAAGAGCTGCATTATTGCTCTTCATAAAGATACTTGATTGACCCCAAATATACAGTAGCCTAAGCCCAGGCTTCTTTCGGAACAGGCCTTGCAATGATCAGCCAAAGTAGTGGAGTGCATATAAGAAGTTTCAAATATTGATTCTTTTAGTTAAAATAGTCATATAATTATTGCAAGAGGTTGGAGGGGTGAGTGTCAACATGTCAGTGTTCTGACTATACACTGCATGAAATTTGGCTTAATAGCTGCTGTCTTAGAACAAAGCCTCTTCTAACGATGATGCACAAGAACACCTGCAAAGAGTTTGCAGAAGACACAAAGAATAAGGAAATGGATTGATAGAACTATGACAAACATGGTAAGGGAATCATGGTTTAGGGTTGTAAGAGCACTTCTGGCTGTTCACTACAGTTCACTGAGGGACCCATGAATCCCAAAATCTTGGATATACTGAGGCAAAATATCACTGGCAAACTGGGCCACAGGGTAGTATTCCAACAAAGTAACAACCCCAAACACACATTCTAGAGGACCATTGCCCTGCTAAGGAAATTAGGGGTAAAGGTGCTTGACTGGCCAAGCATTTCTCCAGACGCTAACCCTCGTGAACATTTGTAGGGCACCATCAAGCATACATGTAGGATGATGGAGTGCAACGTGTCCTTCATCCAGCCAGTCTATATTGTTGT